TGTATGTGTGTCTTCTATTTGACCTTGGCTAGTTCACCAATAAATTGACAGTTTCTAAATTTCTATAAATACACCATAGATTATGTCAATAACCGGGCATTTCAAAGAGCATTTCAAATAAGATAGCTTTAGTATTAACGATCTTAAAAACGATTTGTAAATAAACCTTGAAAATTGTTTTTAGTAGTTTCATCCGGGAAATTATGTTTTGGCCCGTATATATACTGCTTGTGCTAAAATTAAATATCGTTTGTTACTAGTAAGTAAATAAGTAAATAAGTAAGTAAGTAAGTAAGTAAGTAAGTAAGAAAGTAAATAAGAAGGTAAGGTAAGATAAGATAAGGTAAGGTTAGGTAAGGCAAGGCAAGGCAAGTCAAAGTAAGTAAGTTAGTTAGTTAGTTAGTTAGTTAGTAAGTTAGTTAGTTAGTTAGTTAGTTAGTTAGTTAGTTAGCTAGTTAGTTAGTTAGTTAATTAGTTAGTTAGTTAATTAGTTAGTTAGTTAGTTAGTTAGTTAGTTAGTTAGTTAGTTAGTTAGTTAGTTAGTTAGTTAGTTAGTTAGTTAGTTAGTTAGTTAGTTAGTTAGGCTTGTATGTCTGTCTGTTTGTTTGTTTGTTTGTTTGTTTGTTTGTTGTTTGTCCAGTTCAGTTCAATTCAGTTAGTTCAGTCAAGTTAAGTTGTTTGTTTGTTCCCCTAATTATTTGCCGGAAAGTAACGATTTTGATTAAGCACATTAATTATTACGTAAGTCACTGATTTTGTTTCTTTTTATACTTGTGAGAATGTACGCCTTGCTATTATATAGATTTGGCTTTGCCCTTGAAATAAGGTAACGTCACATTAACCTTATTCTATAGTCACGTTTTATACTATGAGACAGCAGAAAAGCAGACGACTGAACACAAAAAAAAAACTAACAGTTTAAAATGTTATATAAAGGTAACCGTAGTTCAATGTCCGCCGTGATCACCCACCCGGAATATCTCTCGTATCTTGTTATACACTATGTTTTATGTGTATCAAACTATGTCCTATATTTTTAACAACTTGTTTAGGATATTCAACTTTAAAATGCATAAAATACAATTGCGATACAGGTTATTCACCTTTTAAATACGTGGTAGGGGGTTTAAAACTTTAATATTCGAAAGAAAAAATGCTTTGATAATGCATGCCATGTTAACATTCTTTGTATTCATTGTCCTTGTACTCCCAAAATAGTGTCTTTGATATTTAAGGGTATGTGAACTTCGTAGATTGAGAATGCAAAAAAAGTAAGTTAAACACTAGCACGTGTCGACGAAGTTAAACATGGTCATACTGTATATGCGGTAGGATGGGTGGTGACGACAATGAAGACGGCGACTTTATAGCCATTTATTTGAGCCGCGCCACGACAAAACCAACATAATCGGTTTGCGACCAGCATGGATCCAGCCCAGCCTGCGCATCCGCGCAGTCTAATCAGGATCCATGCTGTTCGCTTACCAACCCTTTTACAAGTCGAGAAACTGATAGCGAACAGCATGGATCCTGATATGCATTATGCTGGTTTTGTCGTGACACGGCTCATTTTATTCTACATACATACTTATGTACATTATATAGCATATGACTTATAAATAAAAGATTACAAGTAGTTCTTGGACTCATAAAAAGAAAGAATAATTTGAGACTACTTGGGATAAAGCTAACAAATGTTTATGTTAAAACAGAATGAGTACAGCTGTAGTCCACTTGAGTCACGTATAGTGTTTTATCGCCTTACTCAGATTATGATGTGTTAACTAGTCTCATCACTTTTATGATGACAAATTTTTTATTAAAAAGATTTCCTCTAGTTGGGAAATATATCTATGAAAACACTGATAGATATTGCAGATGCTGCAAGTTTGATATTTACTCAGTAGCCATTAAATTCTATTTTTATGGAAGATACTGAATATTGTTAATAACTTTGTAAGTAATCATCTGATTCTTTTGAAATATAAAATGGCCATATAAAATTGTTTATATTTAACTTTTACACTAACTTCCAATACAAAATGTTATGTTATATTATGTAGTAGGTGTTGTAGTAACTCTGATGTATATATATACATATTTCTTTTCAAAGTTTAAATACAATGAAAATTCACTTTTTGTAGTGTTCGTTCTACAAGGAATTCGTGCATTGAAACATTATTTGTCAGTTAAACATCATACTTTTGTTGACTGCTTAGAAATATATGTAACAATATTAAATGTGTCCCTGTCTCCAGCCAACGCCCTCAAACAAATAACCTCACATGGCGAGGACTGAACGCCATATATTTTATAACAATTTTTACATCTGGTCTAGATATTTCCTAATCTATCATAATATGGCCTAGTTTTCATTGTCGCGTGATTCTGAAGTTTTAAAAGTGATGAATGTTCTAAATTAAATCATAGATTAATGACAATTGAACTATATGTACTACATCATTGTGATCAAATTTATTAACAAAAAAGAACAAGAAAAATGTTATTTTGTCTTTAACATGCTAAATAAAAAGATTATTTCAATTAAATGAATCCGTCGCCTGGCAAAAAAAAACTGCCGTCAATTTTATTATGTTGCTTAAAATTGACCCATTTTTTTCCAACCCTCGTTTATAAAATGTACGTCCATAATTTAAACTATTTTAGACTGAAAACTGTTATACCAACACTTATTTATCTTATTAAGGTAATGCATGTATAATTAACATTTTTTAAAAAAGGCATTTAAAACTTTAAATAAATTTATAAACTGTAAGTTATATCATGGACATAAATACAAAAAAAATACAAAAGTTTACCAGTATAACTTTTGTATCAGTTTTATAAAAAACAAAACAAAAAAACAAAGAATAATTATGTTATCGTTAAGTGAATAAAAGTTTTACTACTTTCATATTTTTCTTAGTTGAAAAGTACTTATATAGAACCATAGTTTTTTAATTACTACAAATAAAACCAATGACAAATGTCTATGAACTTATTTGTTTTGTTTATTGAGATTTTACATTAAATAAGAAGAGGAATGGGTAAGAAAACCTGTTAGATTTTGTCATAAAAAATGGGGGCATCAAAATATTATTTTATAATAATTATTTTGATACAAATCTAAAGATTTGTGAAAAAATATAAAGAAAGTTCAAAGTAAAATCATTTTAAGTTGTTACCCTATCCAATTTCACATAATTCACAGTAAAAATTATGCATAAATTTTTTTTCTCTTAATGTCAGATTTATTATATTAAAAAAAAAGAAAACAGAATCAAAATCTATAGCCAATCAAAAAGAAGAAGAAAGACAAAAAAATAAGAAGAAATATTGCCACCTCTGGGGGTTTGAAACCACGCCCTATCGAAACTCTGTGCCCTCACTGAAAATAAATACTCTGCAAAAGGAGATTCTAAAACCATACTTTTTTTGTATTGATGATGAAATGCCTGGAACATTTTGACATGTATATTTCGTTAAATAGCCAACAAACCTATATTATAAATACGCCTGAAAGAGGCACATATCGATGAAGAAAAAAAAATGCGGCTCATTGACCGAATTATTATTTCTACGAATCAACAGCTATTGGTTCGAATTCCTCCGGAGACTTTGGATTATTTTCTAGTGAAGTGGGTTATCAGGAAGTCGGAGATTTTGCTTGGAGAAATTGAGGTCTTCCTCCAACTCTCAATCAATCAATCAATTATTTAGTAGCGGCATCTTTGGCAATTTTTACAGAATATGGCTACGTCAAAATAACATGAATCTATATAAAAAATAATGCAAACGGTTAATTAAATAGCACATAAAATTGGCAATGCAAAGTGAATAAATTACGGTACACACCATCAATTTGACGGTTTCGGAATTAAATTCATTTTGTTCAATAGCCAGTGTTCTTACTATAAAATCCTCTATAAGATGTGTTGCAATTTTTTTCTTGAATATTTTAAAATCTAGCAAATTCTTTTTGTATAAGTTTTGATGTTTCAGTTCAAACCTTCATAGAAGGGTCGCTATTTTGATATTGAAGGAGAAAATAGAACCTGCTCACATTGTAACCAGCAAGAAATAGGTGATGAATTTCATTATATTTCAATGTAGTTATTTTACCTATGAAAGACACAAGGACATGTATATCAGTAATTACTTTTCAAGGTTTCCTAGTATTTTAAATTTTCAGGATTAAATGTGTACTGATAACAGAAATACTTTATTTAATCTTGCGATGTTTGTTAAAGCAATAATGCTGAAATTTCATTAAGACATCTTCCTTATCTACTTATTTACCTTTTTTGCCATGTTTATATTATTACCATATGTTGTAGTGTTTGTTTGTTCACTCTTATGCCAATGAGTGTTGGTAAAATGAATGAATGAATGAATGAATGAATGAATGAATGAATGAATGAATGAATGAATGAATAGCGTCAACTCTGTCAAACAGGTAATGTATTCATTATAAATTAATACATTGTACTTAGAAAAAAAATAAGCCGTCGTTAAGGTTAAGGTTATGTACGGATTATTAATAAATCACTCCTCAAATAAGTAAAATGAATGCAAATTCATACTAATGAATGACATTTAGTTAAAGAAAGGTAAAATGAATCCAAATTCATACTAATGAATGCCATTTAGTTAAAGAAAAGTATTAATAGTTTCAATGCAGCCGGAAAGGTATCAAAACAAAATCTTGAAAAAAAATCTTCATTTTTGTACATTAGAAGTTTGCTGAAATTATATTTTGTATGGTATGAAATCTTTTCATTTTTGAATGTACAAAATTAAATTCGATAAGAACGGCGCAATTACAAAACTAAATTGATCAAGGCACCATTACAAAATTTAACGCGTAGCCAGTTTATCAAAGTTCCTTTAAAAATTATATACTGAAAAAAAAAGATTCAAACTCTAAAACAATGATACCCAAAATAGAGTAATAGAACAACAGACCTCATAAACTGGGTGGTACTATAATTATTATACCCAATTGAATAGGAGTGGTTTAAAACGTTACGTCCCATTTACCCAGGAGGATATACGTATATAAACGAACGCGCACGGAGAATTTGCATTATAAACAAACACCCAGGACGAATTAACTTGCTAAATGAAAATGAGGTTAACTCTTAGTGTCGGTAAGTGTTTACTTATAAATCTAATTTATCTAATGAAAATTTTATGGTACTCTTTTTATAATTGAATAATGTCTTAAGGTGTCTTTTAAAATGGATTTCATATACAAGTTATGAATTTATTGATTACTAAAGGGTAACGTAAATAGGTCACTGTATGTCGATATTTTTTACGTTAAAAGTTTCATATTTGATAGTTAAATTATCTAATGTGAGTTGAGATTGAAGTGAAGTAAACAAAATATTATGTTTTATGTGCATAGATCTTCTTCATGTTTTACCGGATAGGGATAGCTACAAGTGAAATAAATATTTTACATAATATTACATTTACCATTTAGATTGAATTTTGCCTTTAAAAACCTTTTCTCAGTGAAATTGAATGATTCGTTGTTTTCTTGAATGCGATTGATATTGAGTTTAAATATAACAATTTCCAAATAAGACATAATATTTCTTGACTTACTTTTTGACAGAAGCATATCGGTCGAGTAATTACACTCAGTTATAACTACAAAATCACGGATGCAATGATGTGTATCCGTGATTGTTATTGAAAAAACAACAACAAATAAACATACAAGCAAAAAAAACAGACAATGCCTTTAGTAAAAAAAAGAACAGAACTTAAAGAACTGTTGTATAATTTTCGTCTATGATATAATACAATACTTTTTTGATTATTTAAATGAAAATTTCTAAACTTTTGTAGGATCTTATTTTATGGTTATTGTGTAATTTTACCCTAGTGTTGGCATAGCAACTATATTTTACCATTATACTAACGTAAGTCTATAAAGTCTAGTTTATATGGGAGCGCAGGGGAGACATGAGGAAAAATATTTTGTCATCTCTTAAAGAAAATTACAAACGTACAAAAGCTATCTCACAATCATGAAATTATTAAACAGAAAAAAGTAACAAAGTCAAAAGTCTTATTTTAAATGTTTTTTTATATCCCTTTTCGCTTCCGTATCATCTGCTGATAATTTAGCGACTTAGTGCAGCAGTCCTTGCGAACATTTTGTGTTTATACAAATGTAAATCTACATATTTCAAGTTTACAAAAATTGTAGGTAGACATGTTAAATCATAAGACGTTTGGAGAAATCCAAGATGGCCACCAAGATGGCCGCCAAATTATTAAAAAATGGGCTCATACGCATTTTATCTGATAAAATTAGTTCTTTGTTGTATCTATTGTATCTGGTCTGCCTCATGTTATATTGGCTTAGGTTATTGTACATTAAGGTTGTCTTTGGCCTCCGTGCAGTGACCTACTTTTGGCTGGGGAAATTGCTAGGAGGTAATTATCACCTTTCTGTTCTTAACAGGCGGATGGATCCTCATCCATCCATCCATCCATCCATCCATCCATTCACCCATGCCATGCCATGCCATGCCATGCCAGGCAGCAGGCAACATACATGCATGCATGCACACGCACACGCACACGCACACGCACACGCATACATACATACATACATACATACATACATACATACATACATACATACATACATACATACATACATACATACATACATACATACATACATACATACATACATACATACATACATACATACATACATACATACCGCAAGATCAATTATTTATTTATTATTTATCTATTAATTAATTAATTAATTAATTAATTAATTAATTAATTATCATCATCATCATTATTACGTTATTATTATTATTATTATTATTACTGTTGTTATTATTATTATTATCTTAAATAAATAATTAATTAAAAAATAATTTAATTATTTATATTCATTTATTCACATTTATTTTTAATGTGCCAGGTCGGGTATTTTGTGTCAATCATGAGGGTCAAGTCGTGTTAAAATCTCACATATATTTTCTACTGTTATATTAAAAGTTTATAAAGTCACTGACATTTCACATACCAGTATACTTAAATGTCAATTTATTTTATTCAACGGGGTGTCCAATTTCGTAAGATACATTCTTTTTACATAGCTATCATTATTATCAATGTAATTGGCCTTTGAATGAAACCCATCTCGTTTCAACCATTGTACCGTGAACCCTCTACCTTTTTCAATTTTAGTTCACGTATCTAATATTCATGTTGTATAAATGAAGTGTACTAAGTGTACTTAACTGACATAATTTCCCAAAGTTACCCTACATCACGAAACCGTGAGGCTTCAAACAGTTTTTATTACAATGTTATCAGAATATCAAAAACGGTTAAACCTCCATATGTTATAACCATGATACAACCAAAAGTGATTAGTCATCGTTCGTCACTAGTATCGTGCTATATAACATGGACATGACCCCAAAAACTCCCACAAAAAAAGAAAGTCCCTTTAAGAAATTCAAAAGTCGTATGCACAAGGAATTGCATTATATATAGTCTATACCCGGTCCCTAATCCAAGCGAGGTTTCTGGGGCAGTGGGGGATAGAAGATAGACAGAATTTATGTCATGCCAGTACCACATACGACCTGGTCAGTGCAGTATTTGTATTGGCGCCAAAATTGTCCACCATCTGAATGCCCCCCCCCCCCACTTCCACAATATATAGAACATTTCCCAATTGTTTAATTTTTAATGAGAAAAAAATAACACTCAAACGTAACCATTACATGGAGCTTAATATTGTATGTAATATTATCTGTGACCATGATAAGTTTTTTGTTCTCTACAGACTCCAACTAATTTTTAAACAGTAATCAGCGTTAAACGAAATATACATGATAATAATGAGAGCCTAGCATAATCAGCGCTCCTAAATATCGGTCGACGAACCACACGAGAATTGACTGACGTTTGGTGTAACATTGGCCTTACAAGCCATGAACTCTAGGATATAAGTCATGCTGGTCAGGTTAAGGTCACGGCAAACTTTCTACATACATAAACTGAAGGAAAATGTCGGGTCAGCAGGACAGTGACCTCGTTTACAATAACCGGACATTGAACTACTTACTGTATAGTCAGAATCGACTCTGGTCAATATTTATTATATACAACGCTCAACATTGATTTTATAGTGATCTTTCTTCACAGAAAACGCAGATTTGTTTTAAGGGTGTAATAGTTCTAAGAACGACACCCGCTTTACACCTAGTATATAATAGATTTACACTTCTAACAATAAGAATAGATTTACACTTCTAACAATAAGAAAAGACCGTGGGATGGAAAAATTATGTTTTTCCAAATATCATGATAGTCGAAGAAGGGATTGTTAAACACTATAATTAATTTTATGATAACTAGAACTCTCGAGTGGGCAGTAAACGTTGTATAATACATTCATTTTATTATTTTTTGAAAATTTTACATGAATTTGAGGTGGAGTAATATTTTAAAAGTCATGTTTCATTTTGTTCCTTATTTGCTTTCCGACGAGTTATTTTCGCAAAATATATGAATTTTAAAATCGCACCTCCTCGTCTCTTACCGTCAAGTTTCGGTTAATTATTAGGAATAATCGCCGAGGTGATCCGATTGTCAATTTTAGCGCGTTCAGACGCGTGGTAAATACTATAAAAGGTCATTTTAAGTAAAAATATTAATTAAAAAAGAAACCTGAACGATAAACAGAGCTAAAATTATATATAATATCTATAAATATATATCTCTTTATATTAAAATTATGGTATTGGCTACATTCACCAGGCATCTTTATGCTTAATGACGTCATACTCAACATCGTATATAAGATAAGATAAGATAAGATAAGATAAGATAAGATAAGTTTTATTTCAAGTCAGCAAGTTTTCAACAGTACAACATAAGCTCTAGGAGCTTTTATAACCGACTATAAATAACATAAACAAAAGTTAAATCATTGTTTACAAGTAAACAAAACATGTTCGGCTCCACTTGGGTGGTGTCTTTTCAAATTTGAGGGAACATGGTTCGTGAACATCTTTAAGCATTGAGCTCACTGTGTTGATGGGCAGAACGTCATACATCTGAATCAGATAATTTGATGTTTTTATTTATGTTCATTTATTCAGGTTTTGTGGTGACATGTCTTATGTTGGACACATTGGCTACACCACTCTGTACCACACCGGATTGTGCGAACTATCCCAGAGACCCACTTACGTTCGAACAACTTCGACGGGCAGTAAGTCAATTCTTTTATAATTACTCTTTTTTATAATAAACGTAACATACAATTAATAAGTCGATTGTCTTAAAATGGAATGGTCTACAATAGGCATTTTTCATAAGTATTACAAATATTGATAAATAAAAAAAACAATATAGTTATGTATTGTATAAAAGACATTCCCTTATGGACAAATTCAGTTTAATATATAAGCATGAATTATCAACATGTAACATGTCTACAACAAATGATAAATGTTCATACAGACATGTAGTTTTACATATTATAGACACATTAAAGGCCCATTAAGCCCCAGAAATACTTAAATTGATATTTCTCGAAAACTTTTTTAATTTTGGCAGTTTCCAAAAAGTAACTCATTGGTCTTATACATGAAAATCTTTTCTTCTGTTGCTTTTCTTTGACTATTAATACATTTATAATGATTTAGTATTGTTATTGAAATCAACATAGCACTTCATTTATATTTTGTTTCTTTTGTGACAAATTATTTCACATTTGGTGCTTCTTTCGACACGTGATTAACACCGTGTGCACTTTCAAAAACGGACGGACATAAATATGTATTAGTTTTCTGAAAATTTAAGCCTTTAAGTCTCAGGGATATAAGAAGAGTTCATTCAGTAGAAAAATAAACATGTGTTTAATCATCCTTCAAGTATTTATGGTTTCATAATATTATCCCCTTAAGAAAACAGCCATGGACATGATTTTTTAAAGATAGGAAAATATAAACAAAGTAATATTTTTACTTAAAAATAATACTAATAACAGTCAGTATTACTATACTACATGTATATGCCAAAATGTAAAAGAAGCGATAGATAACTAAGGTTTATGGCAACATAATAACGTTTTGGATTTTTTTTTTACATCAAAAATAAAAATCTTTTGGGAAATAAAAATGATAATTTTTTAAGCTTAATCAGATAATACAAGATAATACCAGACACAGTTAGGTCCGGAGTTTAAAAGATAAATTGAGTATACAGCTTGAACAGGGACGACATAACACGGAACGTGTCAGTAATAATGCACGAAAGCGCGCCAGATTAGTTCATTTTATTTACAATTTATTTATAAACCAAAAATAATCACAGGTACTATCTCGTTTTAGGTTATAGGTGAGCAAAATGTATCAAAAGTATATTATGAAGTGTTCAGCATGGACCCTGCCGCGTTAAAACCATCTGGATTGCCTATTTTGAGAAAAACATCAATTCGATGGATAATGGAAGAAGCCGTGCCGTTTCCTGGAAGATTTATAAACGACTATGCTGGATGGTAAGCGTTAACTTCTCGGCCCTTTCCATAAAACTGTAAAGCTGCAAACGGTAAAACCTACGCTAGTAGTAAATAAATTGAACCATTCTTCGTGCACGTGTCATAATTATGATGTAATTAAAAATGTAATTAAAACTCATACATTATTTAATTGCTTGAATCTTTTTTTTTATGTGTAAATGGGCACGAATTTGATAGTAAATTGTATACATGTATGTACATGTATGTAGTGTTTAAATACCGGTAAATAGGTTGGCAATTTTGACCTGAAACATTTGAATATTCAATGACTTTTCGTTGGTAATTATCGGATTCCGAAGTAAATCTTACGGATTTTAAAATATGGTATAACGGTATATGTATAGCTTGAAAAAGAACTACTTGTGTATCATTGAAAGTCAATGGGTAAATTGTACCTTATAATGGAAACATACGAAACACCTTCCGAAAATTAATCATTATCAGGACAATATTGTCAACAATATCATAGAAATCATCATATTGCTTCAACTCTGAGTGTGTGGTTTATATGTTACCGATACATTCTTTTTAAATTATTCTTATTTAATAAGGTTAGTTTAAATATTATATATTTACGCTCGAAGCTAGAGGCATATCTCTAATCACCTTGAACTAGCCAGTACTGATGTAATATGGTCAGTACTGATGTAATATGAGGAAAACTGGTGCCGTGACCTATTGCAGCAGGGTTCGAACCCGCAATTCCTGGATTGTTTTTACTCCAAATTTGTGACCGTTCATATAGTTAGGCTTTGAAAGTGTGAACTTGATTTTTAAAGAAAACACAAGAGCAGGGTGCTAGTTGTACTAATTTATAGTACGGCTATAGTCATGTGTGTTATCCGTTGTCCCGTTTTCCGACCAAACGGTGTGGTTTTTCATTGCAGGATTCCATATAATCCACTTTTTCCGGATAATACAGGAAAATGTGAATTCGGCAGAATCACATTTGAAACCATTGTTAGAAGAGGGATGAGAATGAGTTTTAAGTTCGATTCCGTCTATCCTAAAGGTATGTATGGTAATGGCCCACAAACATTTTCTTCATTGTCTTCGCCCTCTCCGTTTAATGCCAATTGTATTTTCACAATATACGATTGATGACATTATACTAAATATTTGTATTTCACGGTGTCTACCTCTATTTAACAGTGTCTACCTACTTACAACCGTCCTTAACGGTGTCTACCCACTATACTATTGTCCTATACGGTGTCTACTCAATATATTTTCGTTCTTAACGTTATCTATTCACTGTACTACCGTCCTTAATGGTGTCTACCCACTAATACTATATTAGTGTCCATAACGGTTTCTGCCCATTGTTACTACCGTCCTTAATGGTGTCTATTCACTTTAATACCGTCCTTAACAGCGTCTACCCTCTATATAAGCGGCTATAACGGTGTCTTCCCACTTAACTACCGTCCTTACCTGTGTCTATACACTTAACGGCGTCTACCCTCTATATAAGCGGCCATCACGGTATCTTCCCACTTAACTACATCCTTAACGGTGTCTATACACTTTACGGCGTCTACCCTCTATATTAGCGGCCATCACGGTATCTTCCCACTTAACTACATCCTTAACGATGTCTATACACTTTACGGCGTCTACCCTCTATATTAGCGGCCATCACGGTGTCTTCCCACTTAACTACCTCCTTAACGGTGTCTATACACATTACGGCGTCTACCCTCTATTTTAGCGGCCATCACGGTGTCTTCCCACTTAACTACCTCCTTAACGGTGTCTATACACTTCACAGCGTCTACCCTCTATTTTAGCGGCCATCACGGTGTCTTCCAACTTAACTACATCCTTAACGGTGTCTATACACTTTACGGCGTCTACCCTCAATTTTAGCGGCCATAATGGTGTCTTCCCACTTAACTACCTCCTTAACGATGTCTATACACATTACGGCTTCTACCCTCTATTTTAGCGGCCATCACGGTGTCTTCCCACTTAACTACCTCCTTAACGGTGTCTTTACACTTTACGGCGTCTACCCTCTATATTAGCGGCCATCACGGTGTCTTCCCACTTAACTACCTCCTTAACGGTGTCTATACACATTACGGCGTCTACCCTCTATTTTAGCGGCCATCACGGTGTCTTCCCACTTAACTACTTCCTTAACGGTGTCTATACACATTACGGCGTCTACCCTCTATATTAGCGGCCATCACGGTGTCTTCCCACTTAACTACGTCCTTAACGGTGTCTATACACTTAACAGCGTCTACCCTCTATATTAGCGGCCATCACGGTATCTTCCCACTAAACTACCTCCTTAACGGTGTCTATACACTTTACGGCGTCTACCCTCTATTTTAGCGGCCATCACGGTGTCTTCCAACTTAACTACATCCTTAACGGTGTCTATACACATTACGGCGTCTACCCTCTATTTTAGCGGCCATCACGGTGTCTTCCAACTTAACTACCTCCTTAACGGTGTCTATACACTTTAATACCGTCCTAATAATATTAGTTATAAAGATTGTTGACAGGTTATATGGCCCTATATAAACGGCTATTTGTAAATATAACCGAGCCGTCAGGCGAGGGTTATATTACAAACAGCCGTTTATATACGGCCATATAACCTGTCAACGATCTTTATAACGAATTTATAATACAGCAAGCATCATTTTTAGAGAAAAAAGTAAGATTTCATCTTGAATCGACAGCAGCCCTTTTATATAAATCTATATAAACGTCACGATTATCCAATGAAAAGCGACGTTACAAACGTGCAGTATTATAATGATGTCTATCCACCATACCATCTTCCTTAACGCTGTCTACTTACTACATTAGATTCCTACACGGTGTCTACATGCCAATATAGTTTGCCCTAAAGCATATAGATAACTGATTCATGTTTTACAGATGTGAAATTCAACTGCTAAAATATTAAAGTCTGTCACTCAACAACTTGTATTCGTATTTTAATTAAATTGTGACAATCACATATCCAAGTATTTACAGTTTGCATTTTTTTGACTGATGCGTCGATAGTCGATTGAAAGCTGTCTTCAAAGTAATGGCACACACTAAAAGACATTTTCTAATGATTGGACATAAGTAGAGATGGTCAACGATTCGTTCACTTGATTAAAGCGATTCAAATGATAATGTTCAATATATTCTATGATTTGGCGTTCCATATTTCAACGCATACTCACATGATGAGTGGTAGAGTGAAAAGGTGGCGTTTGGTCATACCAGGTATCGTTGGTTCGAGATCTGCTCTGGTCAAGAATATTTATGTACATTACACCTGTCCTTCTTAGTTCGAGGAAGGGGACTCGAAAGTGACTGATTTAATTTGTTTGATCTTGCTTAAGAACCAAACTTAAATATGTAAAATTAGGACGTTAAAAGTACAACTATTGTAGGCATACAAACTTTAAACACACTTATAAAATTGCAGTGGAAGTTCATGTGGGAACATCTTATTCTTCGTTCCCAGAGGAGTACTTGATAAATTGGTACTGTCCAGAGACTGAACTTGTTTACGGTGGCAAATTTGGCATCAAATGGTGCAAGTAAGATTATATATTTTTTATTTCATTTACTTATGTTAGGACACCTTACCACTTTATGGTCTCATTCATATTATATGACTTCTTGATGTTCTTAGAAGTTTTTATGGAAGTGTTTGTATGACTAAGAATTTAAAAATGCTTCTCTTTTACAATAGCCGGATCTTATAAGAGTTACTGACCTTGAAAGGTCTGTAAAAGGCCTATATAATGCTACTTTGATTCTTCTTTTCCCAATTGTTTTGTTTGTTTTTGTTTGTTTACTATTTTCTAAGTTTCGACAATTGGTGATTTTTTTTTCACACAAAGTATTACAAGAACGTAATTAAATACTTTTTTTTCAAAAATAACAAGTATATATATGTTCCACAGTTTCGTATATTGATGAAATAAGACAAAATTGCTAACTTTAAATTATATAAACGCTTGTTTCTATGATTTCGGAATAAGAAATTGATTCAAAAACAAATACACTGAATTGCAATAAGTTATATTAGCTGTAGAAGTCTATTATGATTTATAAAAGAAGGCAAAAAATGAAATTTGCTATCAATATTTGCAGGAGTGGCGCCCGAATGAGTATTTATAGCCCACATGCATTCACGCAACTTCCGTTTGATAAGATACTGGACGATATGTGCCGGAACCAGTCACCTTCATTGTCAGATCCGAGATGGACGATGACGTATGATGCACCTCAGAGTAAATATATTTTATTTTACCACACTATCTTATCATGGGGGGCTTCCGTCGCCGAGTGGTCGCTGACTTGAGATCACAGGTCCCTCATCGCTGTAGGTTCGATCCTCACTCGGGTCGAAATCTTTTATGTGAGGAAGCCATCCAGCTGGCTTACGGAAGGTCGGTGGTTCTACCCAGGTGCCCGCTCGTGCCTGAAATAATGCCCGGAGAGGCACCTGGAGTCTTCCTCCACCAATAAAGCTGGAGAAAATCGACGAAAAAATCTCGGCGGGACGCTCTAGGATGGCCCGACTTGAGTGTACAGTCGCCCAAATGGGCTTTCCGGCGGCGACCTTAAAATAAACGCATTAAAAAGAAAATCTTATCATGCCCACGTTCCAATCTGGGCAAAACCATCATTCGAAAGATCCTGTAACTCATTTTTTTACAATTTTTTATCATAAATGAAGATTATCAATATTTTAAGTTCCAAAAAGCATTATTTGTTAAGAAATTACCGAATTTACATTTCATGTAAATAAAGGGAGGTAATTAGAAATTTATTTTCGATAAAGTCTAGGCCAATTTTTCAATAAGAAATGAATGTATATATTTTAATGATTACTTATAATACGTGTAAACATTTGCTTTATATTTAACATATTTTTGGATATTTGAAAATGTTATAGAAGACTAATTATATACATCAAGTGTTGTAACATGTTTAATTACAATAAACAGGATCTTTAAAGATCCTGTAACACAAATTTTTCATGGTTTTATTTCATAATTATGATGCTCAAATTTAGATTTGTCAATATTGTAAGTTCAAATAAGCATTATTTATAAAGATATTACCCAAAATAACATTTTATGTACATAAAGGGAGGTAATTAGAAATTTATTTTCTATAAATTCTAAGTCAAATTTTTCCTAAAAGAAAAACATGCATGTAATTTATCAAATGTTTGCAGTACACATTTTACATATTCTTCGATGTTTGAAAATTGTTTTATTTGCATAATTATATACATATATAGTTTTTTGCAAGTGTGGTATACACACAGTAACAATATCAATCACAAAACATACAGGATCTTTAAAGACAATTTCAAAATATTTACTGAATTAGTAGCGATCAGCTAGTATATACTGAAATAAGCAAGCACGTATATGCCGCTTGTTTGACGCATGGGTTTAATGTGTTGGCCGCCACAAAAAAATAATTCTCGAGTTTATATTTTCCAAATATTTTAAGGCATTGTGGTTATTTGGCGCCTTGTCTTTATTTTTTTTTTTTATCTTTTTTAGATTGTTTGCTCACTGCGTGACGTACTATGCCTTCACAGATTTCTATGAGATATCTAACATAAATATTACTTTATCTTTTACAGTGTGTGACGTAACCAGTAATAGTGGCAGGAAGAAGAGATCAACAGATATTCGACACTATCTTTAAAATCCTCTCTCGTTTGTATTTATGGACTACTTTTATGGTTTTCTTGTAATATATCATGCTGTATTTAGTTGTTGTTGTTTTCTTGTTTGCAATATCATATTAGTATTATTTGTTGGAACATTGTTTTGTCCGTTTTGACAGCCAAGCAACAAATATGTGTTATTTTATATTATGTTTTTTATCTGCATGCTTCCAGATGAGCTATAATATGACAAGAAAATCAAACTTGAGATAAGTGTTTTAAGAGTTTAAGACAAGTAATGATTAACATATATATATATTATGTGCAATTATCGTCTGTTTTGCAGTGTCTATCAGTATAAATCATCACTATATTTCTAACGTTGACTAACGCAGTAAGGGCTATTTTTGCATATTTTGACCTCTGTTTTGGTAATTTACGTGGATCGTTAGTGCCGTCTGTAATGTGTAAATTACGTTTTTGTTCACTTTACAATATTTTACTTTAAAACTATTTTTCAAATTGTTTTCTGAAAAATAGCATGAATATGGAGGCATGCAGCTTTAATCATTCTTGGCAATTTACATGTATATATATTTAAGGCTACATATTTAAAAAAAAAGCAATTTGATCTTCTGGAAATCACAGATAATTACGTTCAGTATATTATAGTAAGACGCCGTTTGAGTTAAACACCATAATTTAGACAAAAGTCAAAATAAAGAAATGTTTAAGCATTAACAATTCATGTGAACCAGTCATTTGGTGCGTTAGTTATGTCTGAAAAATGCTAAAAACAACAACAACAACAACAACAACTACAACAATAAAGCGAAACAAACAAACGAGTATGCATTTTCATAAAAAAAGGTAAATTTTATAATAAGATATGAGGGTTGTTAAAAAAACTCTGATCTTAATGCGTTCTGTATATATAAAAATTCATTTGTTGATTTGCACGAATGTCACTGTATTTGTTTTAAGCTTTTCATAGACATCTGTTGTGTTTTTTTAATCAAATCTTGTGTTTCGAAGTAAATGCACATTTTGAATTATTACTGTAGGTGTTATTACAAACACCTGGCATTTTTCTTATCGCCAGTACAAAACCATCTGTAATTATGGAAGATTTGTAAAAGATGGGTGCCGCTCTTTTCAAGGTGGTTACAGATATACTACTTTGAGCTAAAGAGACCCATACAAATAAATAACAATGGCTTCGGAAGGACCAGTCAACATCCACTATTGTTGAAAGGCGGATTGCAATGAAAGAACTTTATACTATATACTCATGGTCCTGTGGTAAATGTTCCGTGCCGAAAAGTTTAATCGGGATGATGTCTTGAAACGGGTTAAAACATTTTTTTTCAAGAAAAATCATCGCTCTGAAACGGGTTTACAAGGGTTGTATCTCGAAGGCCTACATGAATAAGGCTTCTCCCCATAAATGAGACTGAGTGGAGAAGTTTTCCGATGTTCCTTTTAACCTGATCTAGGTTACTTTAAGTGAATGCGTCATCTGCGTATACCAAAGGGGAACTACTCTAAAAGGCATAGAAAAGACAACTGGAGAGATAAGAAAATACTTTAGCAATTGTGTTTTCCTGTTTTTATGAAAGAATCAGAACTTTTCGAATAACCCTCGTAAATTTCAAAGACCCGTTCCTAAAATACACATGTATATTATCTATGCATATTTCATCATTATCAAAATGTCCATTAATTGCCCTTATCATTTTTTTGAAAGAGACAAGGTTGTAGATTTTTAACCGGTGAAATTGTTTGAAGTTTTTATGTTGTTTTACCCACTCAATCGAGATCCTAACATTTTTTAGACTGGTTGTTTTTGGCTTTATGTGAATCACTATATGTTATTTGGTTAAAGCTTTAATAGTTTCATGTTATACTAAAAAATTTTAACTTCTTTCTTCTTTCTGAAACTGTGTGAAATAAAAACCGTATTTTACCCAAGACTTTTGTATTTTGTCTTTCTTCATTAATTATTATTTCGTTTAAAGCGACATGCCTCCAGATTCATGCTAATTTTCATGAAAATCGTGAAAATGTATCCAAAAGTAAAATATTGTGAAATGACCAATAGGTCATCGCTCCCTTTATTTTTGTTTCTTATCTATTCAAATAGATTAAATTTACTATTTGCTAGAAAGTATAGTCTGATTTTATTGACCTGTCAGTAATGAATACATTATAGCGCTTATTTGAATATTCGTTTCCACTTCGGTTCTATCCGTATAGCTTACGAGAATTAATAGGCAGTATTTAACCAATGTTTAAAAATTCATAATGTATATGTTCTCATCACATCCGCAATGGCACAGTCGGTAAAGTGATAACCTCATATATGAAAGATCAGTGGTTCAATCCTTACTTTTGTCATTGTTGTTTAAAAACCTTTTATTTTTTTATTTTTGAAGTATATTTTAATGAAAATGGCCAAGTGCTTGCAAAGTTGTCTACACGGATATAAAACAACTTATATAGAAACACTGAGTTGTCACATCGTCAAATTAACAATGTCAACTGATATAAAAGTTCAACTACACACATGGTCCAAATTTTAAAGCTGTACATTAAATGACAAGAAAATAGGTCACTTCATTAAAATATCTAGATCACTTGCCAAACTAAATCATTTAATTATAAGTATACCTAATCCACCTTTAGAAAAAAATTAATTTAATTCAAAATCTTTTCTTCAAATTTCTCTGGAATGAAGGTATGGATAAAGTTAAGAGGAATATAATCACTCAAGATTATAAGTTTGGAGGTTTAAAAATGATTGACCTTCGATGTTTTATGACTAGTCTAAAGGTTACCTGGATTAGGAGACTTATACATTCAAACAATAATTATGTGAAATTGGTAGAAAGAGAAAGTATTTGCCCTTATATTAAGGAAATAGCAAGGTATGGAATAAATTTTGTGAAAAGAAAATTGCAGTTAGACATCAATCCATTTTGGAAAGATGTTTTACAGAGCTATTATTCCCTATCTTTAAACTTACAGCCAAAATATGTCAGTCATTATTATTCCATTCATTTGTGGGATAACCCTAATATTAAGGTTGGAAATTCCAGCATTCATCTGAATAGATGGATTGCTGGTGGAATTCTGTTTTTAGGAGATCTTGTCAATAATGAGGGAAATTATTATACTTATGTTGAATTTTGTGCAATATTTAAAGTGAGAAGTAATTAGGAGTATCATAACAGCAGTAAAATTATATTTATTGAAATTAAATGTACAATACTTAGCAAAAGAACAAAAATATAATTTACTTATCCCACAAACTGTACTGACAATTATCAAAGATATAAAAGGATGTCGTTCTATCTATAAGGGCATGTACTTATCAGAACAATATCCAAATTCTTTACAAAAATGGATGAATGAAATATCAGATAAAATTGATCCTAATTTCTCTTTCAAAACAACTCAATATAATTATGATATTACATATAAATTAACAAAATATCCAAAAATAATATAGTTTAAATTTAGAAGTAATCGAAGAATTTTTGCACCATTTTTTTACTTAAGAAAATGAATATTATTAATGAGGACAATTGTACTTTTTTCTAAAGTGACAAAGAAACGTTGGTGCATTTATTGCATTTAATAGTGATATTATAAAACAGTTTTGGACACAGCTACAGCTGTATATAAAGGACAAATGTAATATTAATTTCAATAGTTGGAGCCTTTCAGATATTTTATTTGGTAATATATATCTGGATAGTGTTACAAACCAAATAATTATAAATGCCAAATTTCATATATATTATAGCAGAATAAAACAAACAAGGCCTAGTTTAGCAAATTTTAAAAATCAAATATGTGCCATTTATAAAACTGAAAAATATATAGCAAAACAATCTTTTAAACTTGATTTGTTTGAAAAATCATGGCATAAGTATATTAATCTATTGAGTTAAGTTAATAATTTTTCTTTTCACATTCTTAATCCGCATTGCCAAATAATATTATAAGGAGACTTCTACCAGCCCCTATCTCATCCATTCCAGCAAAAGTGTTCTTAGTTTTAAATCAAGTCTTAAGTTACTCAGGTTAAATACGCATAGATAGCACCAAACCCTTTTTTTATGTCCTTTTTATTTTTTCTTGATTTTTTTTCTCTTCCGGTCTTTTTTATACCCCTAAAAATTTTATCCACCACAGTATATAATTTGGTAAGGTACACTGGGGATGTAGATGGTGTTGCATAATTCAAACTGTGAAAACAATTTGTGTAGTATTACTCTGTTATTTCCTTTTTTATTCCTTGAAATTTCACATGTTCACAAATTTTGGTTCCTGACTATGCCAATTTCAAACTTTATTAATAGATAAGACATGAAGTAGAATATGTACATGTACTTTTAATTGGATGAAGAAATTGAATGTTTTGTTGTACAAATTTGGATAAATATGTTCATAAGGTTGTATATAAATGAAAAGATAATTCCTTTTAATCCATTAAGTGGGCAACAATTAGCTGTTTATTATTTTGTAAAAAGTAATTGGGAGTTTAAAGGTCAGATAAGACACTGGTATATTGGTAAAAGTCTTACAAAGCATGCTACTCTCCTCTAAATATCATAATTTTTGATTTTTGATAAATATCCACAAGTGAGGTAACATTGTAGAATGACTTTTACAATTAAGGAACTATTAAAAGCAAATTTTTCCATCTTATTATTTTTATAGGAGCCTTTTACTCATTTTTAGAATTGCAAATTACAAGATTCTCTTAGAACTCTATATAATTAATAATTCTTTGAATACACAGATACATATTAAAATGTCCATTCTTTTTAAAGGCTTGAAACTATGTAGTATTAAAAATAGTAGTATTAAAAAGAATAATGATCTATACAAACTTTTAAGTGTTTATGAACTATTAATATATTGCTCTACACAAATGTTAGATACTAATAAGTTTTATACCTTTGCATACCATATACTAATACTGTAATTGCTCCCCGACCCCTTTGTACCTATGACGGGGTTAATAAAATTACAATTTAAAAAAAAAAAATAGATAGGAAAAACACAAAAAAAAAAAAAAAAATATCTAGATCAGCTGATATCAAACTTTAATTTTACATCTAAACTGTTCACACGCCGCGGTCCAAATATTATTGCTTAAGGATAAAATAGGAGAGAGATTATCCTTTGACCTTGACGGTCAAGGGCACAGCTGAATTATTCAATATGTTTGTTTGGTAGAAAGTCTTGTTTTGTCCAAATATAAAAAAAATTAAATCCATACATGGTAAATAACCAAATTAAGACAATTTAACAAAACTTCAATAATTTGACATTGATCGCAATTTGACCTTGACAATCAATGTCATTTAAAGTTGTAGGTCAATGACAATTCAGACTTAAAGAAAGTATTGTCCAAAAAGGGTGTGTTGGCCAAATATGAAGATAATCTATAAATTGCCAAGTTACAGTCAATTAAAGCAAAAATCAGTGAAAATTCTATAATTTAACTTTCAAGGTCGATGTCTTAAAAGTTTGATATACATAAAGGTCTTATCCGAAAATTTTGCGTCTTAATATGAAGTCAATCCATTCATTAATAACAAAGTTATAGCCAGTTACAGCAAAAATAGAAAATTTCAATAATTTGACCTTAAATGTCATTAAAGAGTGAAGGTCAAGGTCTGTCTGGTTTCTTTGAAGGTCTATCCTAGCAAATTGTTGTGTTCAATTTCGAAGACAAAACATTACAAAAATTTAGTTATAGCCACTAAAAGCAAAAATCAGCAAAAATCAAGCAAAATTTAGACATTTGACCTTGAAGGTTATGGTCATTTATGAATGAAGGTCAAGTTTAGTCTAACCTACTTGAAGGTCTTGTCCCAAGGGTTGTTGACACTAAGTATAAAGACAATACACTAAGAACTTAAAAGGTTATGATCAACATTAAAGTTTTGGGGATGGCAACAACAACGGGAACGTCAACATGACTGTAACAATACCCTCTTTTTTTCGGGAAAAAGGTCGAGCTAAAAACCTATACAATACTTTATTGGTATACTTGATACATCTCCATTAATATCAGTGTCATTTAACACTTCAACTTGGGACATTTCACAAATTGGTGTCATATAATACTTCAACTTTGGACATTTCTCTAATTAGTGTTATATAACACTTCAACTTGGGACATTTCTCTATTTAGTGTCATATATTTACATCCACTTGGGACATTTCACTATTTGGTGTCATATAATACTTCCACTTGCGACATTTCTCTAATGAGTGTCATATAATTCTTCAACTAAGGACATTTCAATAATAAGTGTCATATATTTACTACCACTTGGGGCATTTCACTTCTAATAAGTGTCATATAATACTTCCATTTGGGACATTTCACTTATTAGTGTCATATAATTCTTAAACTGTCATATAATTCTTCAACTTAGGACATTTCACTAATAAGTGTCATATATTACTTTCACTTTGGACATTTCACTAATAAGTGTCATATATTACTTTCACTTTGGACATTTCACTAAATAGTGTCATATAATACTTCCACTTGGAAATTTCACTTATTAGTGTCATATTATTCTTCAACTTAGGACATTTCACTAATTAGTGTCATATAATACCGTTACTTCCTTTTGGGACATTTCACTTATTAGTGTCATATAATTCTTCAACTGTCATATAATTCTTCAACTTAGGACATTTCACTAATAAGTGTCATATATTTACTTCCACTTGGGGCATTTCACTACTAATAAGTGTCATATAATTCTTCCACTGGGAACATTTCACTTATTAGTGTCATATAATTCTTCAACTGTCATATAATTCTTCAACTTAGGACATTTCACTTATAAGTGTCATATAGTACTTTTACTTGGGACATTTCACTAATAAGTGTCATATAATTCTTCCACTTGGGACATTTCACTAATTAGTGTCATAT